GGCTGTAAAATTCGTCTACTGCAATCGCAAGTAGACGTGAGCACGAGGGAGCTTGCGGATGCGGAATACAAGTGGGTGCCAACATTCGCTGGCTTACTGAAATACGTTAGATAGTTAGGCAATGTCGCTGATGCGTCCGCCATGCGTAGGTCGCTACACGCATATTTCAGTCTGCTTCTGAAATGCGATATTGCCGATGGCAACTAAAATTTACGTTGACACTCGTTGATTTACGTTCACCGATCGCTGTCGGAAGAGGAGCCAAGTGAGACTGGAATGGTCATTTCTGGCCTATTAGCTGTCATCGGCCAGTCTTACCCAATCTCTGGGGTGACGACTCCCGAGGCTCGAACCTGCGACCTTGTCAGCGCTCTAACCACTGCACCACGGGCTCGTTGCGGGTTCAAGCCTGGGGAGTCGACACTCTTGGGATTGGTTATGGCTGGCTGATGATGACTAATAAGCCAGAAATTGAGAGGAAGAAGGCTCGATCGCTGGGACAATATGTTTATTCGCCTGACGCTTCGACATCCGTCGCGCATTCATCATTAGAGACATGAGTAGCAGAAACAGGTAAAGCATGCACAGACTTTTGCAGTATTTATAAAATACAGTCATTACTGCAAACATACAGCGACAATTAACGGTAATTGCCTTCTAGCGCGTGGATTGCTTGCTGGACGGCACGCGGGCTTGTATTGGCAAGCCAGAAATGGTCACTCCAGTCTCCCTTGACTCTGCCGGCAATGCATTTCAGCCTATACTATATGCTAACCCCTGAGTGGCTGCTGTTTGGGATCGAGAGCAAGTTCCAAAGTACAACGGGACAAAGGGGTTCTGTAATCGATCGGTGAATGCCAACCTACCAGAATCTTATTGGCAAGCTCTCTCATGTAAGGAGAGATTAAAAGCCCCGCCTTTGAGGATTGGCTTGTGTGGAAACAGGGGGTGGGGGAGGGTGGGACAATACGTGCATTGCACGCGCAGACGGGCAGTTTTGTTTTGTTGCTGTTGTCTTCTGCGCCTCCGCCTTTCCCCGCGGGTATTCTTAACTCTTGCTATGCCAGGCTGATGTGTAAGGCAGAGAGCGAGTGAATTATATACTATGCAAGTCGCCACTGCATTTCCTTCGCTTGCCACCACCACCACCGAACTGTGCTGGAGGCAGGTCCGACACATCTGGTTTCTTTATTCAGCAGCAGTATCAACATCTTATTTTGTTTCCTTCCCCCATGCAGCACGCAACCACAATGAAGACCAAGCTGACGGCTGATTTGGACAAGATTCGTGCCGAGGCCTCGAGGGCGCAGTCCAACCTAAGCAAGCTGGAGGCCCTGCTTAAGAATACTAAGGCCCTTTACGACGAGGGAGTATCCAAGTCTAAGGTATGTCCTGGTTTTCTTTCCTTTCCTCTGCTGCTACTACCACTACTACTACTAAATCGGCAATTTATTGTCTGGCTTTATCCTTGAACCTTGTTTTCAACCTGTGAGGTGGTGGTGTGCTTTGTTTCTAACCCATCTGTTTGGTCTAGCGACCCACG